AGCTTATCTTTCAAATTGAAATTTTCTTTTTCGATACTTTCAAATTTCATTTTTGAGAGTTCTAAATCCTTCTTCAAGATTTCATTTTGATTTTCAAAATCCATTTTCATTTCTAAAAGAAGTTTGTTTAATATGAAATTTTCTTTTTCAAAGTTTTCAGATTTTATTTTTGAAAGCTCTAACTCCTTTCTCAACATTTCATTTTGATTTTCCAAGTCTGTTTTAGCTTTCAAAAGAATATCATCTTTAGCAATAAATTTAGAAAACAATTTATTGTATTTGGAGTTCATGGTCTCAAACTCCGAAAATAATTTATCATAAGCATCTTGTAACTCATTAAAAGATTTTGAATTTGATATATTTGAGTTAGAAGATACCTTTGGCTCTGTGAGAACTAATAGAGACATCACTTTTATTGGTTCTTCTTCTTCCTTGTCTCTATAGATCTCCTCAAGCTTATCCCACATTTCCTTGGCACTTGAACAAGAAGAAACTCCTTTATATACATTAGGATCAATTGCACAACACAACATGCGCATAGCCTTTGAGTTTTGTTGAGCTTCCTTCTGTCCTTGAACACTCCACTTCTTTGCCTTCTTAGTAGGAGAGGAATATCATTTCTTGATTATCATCCAAGCTTCCATATTAAATGCTTTGATGAATATCATCATACACCTCTTCCAATGACGATAATTTGTTCTATTGAAGTGACGTCAATAGGTCTGGATTCTTCCATGGAGAATGAACCGGAAGTAGACGCCATCTTTATCGATTTAACTCTTCACTGATCGACTCAAGAGGCGATTAAACCTTCAAATGAGTTCGGCTCTGATGCCAATTGTTGAGTTAATCGATTGACGAATATGGCCAAGAGGGGGGTGAATTGGTAATTAAAATTTTGGTGGAAGCTTTTGCAGAAAATTGAAAGAAATTTGCACAGCGATTTAGAGTGGTTCGACTTTCTCAACCAAAGTCTACGTCCACTACCTTAGCTATCCACACTAAGGATTTTCCATAAATTCACTAATTTGTCTTTCTTTTGAGGACAAAGAGTAACCTTACAAACCCTCAAGAATTTGCTCAAGAATTATACCCCAAATTCTTGAGAACACTCTCTCCCAAAGAGAACAATACAAATTTGCAAACTTACAAGGAAATCCTCACAAGGTAGATTGTTTGCACAATTCTAGAACAAAGAAAAGAACACTCAAAAATAATTACAAATGAGAACAAATGGTGTTCTTGAAAGAAAAATGAATATTGAAAAGAAAATTGGCTTGATTTGCACAAACTTGGTGTTTGATGCTTTCTCTCTTGTTTATCTATGATTTCTTGTTGCTTGATATTTCTTGTTGTTGATCAATGGCTTCTAAGCTTGCTTAACTATACCTTGAATCACTTCTGAACTTTGGGGGATCATTAATGGAGTTTTTGGAGCCGTTTAAGCGTGAAAACAATTAATATTTCTGCTTGGAGCATAGGGGGAATCGGTACCCTTAATGGGGAATCAGTTCCCTAAGTGTAAAATTCAAATATTTCGACCGTTGAACAGTGGGGGGAATCGGTATCCCCTGGGGGGAATCGGTATCCCCTGGGGGGAATCGGTTCCCTCCGAGCATACTGGAATTCTTGGAGACAAACCATTCAGGGGAAATCGGTTCCCTCTGAGCAATCTGGAATTTTTGGCTTTGAAATGGTTCAAAATATTTTGTAAAATCGTTTTGAAATTATTTTAAGATTAAAACTTAATTTTACACTTGAGTAAGTATTTAAAATGAACTTTGAAATACTTTGAGTAATATTTTGATATTCGATTTAATATATCGAATATGCTTAGAAAAATCATTTTCAAAATTAAAATTCTTTTAATTTAATTTGTTATATCGAAACATCAAAATGTTTTCAACAATTTTATAAATTAATTTAATGGTGCTCATCGTTAATGGTGCTCATCCACACTCGACGTACGTTGTAGAATTTTTCTTTAAAATATTATTAATGATGTAAGGAGAGAAGATAGAATAAGAAAAAATTTCATTTTAAAATTTCACTAAATTTTTAAAAAATTAAGTGGGAAGGAAGAGGAAAAATTTCTATTTTAAAACTTCACTAAAATTTTAAAAGGGTGGGAGGAAAGAGAGAAAATAATCTTTTCATTTTAAACTTTCACGAAAATGTAATTCATTTTACAAAATAAATTTTTAAAAACAAACGAACCATAAAATTATACATATATATATAATTATATTAAATCAAAGTTTATATTTTATATTTTATATTATACATTAATATTTAATCAAAGTTTATGAGTAAATTTAAGTTTTTAACTAAAATTGATTCCTATTTATTTTTTAATTTTTGTAATTTAGCCTAATAATTTTAGCATGGTGCTATTTTTGTTCATTTTAGTACATAAAATTATATTTTATTTAAATTCACCCATATTTATTTTTATTTTTGTAATTTAGTACCAATCCTATAAATTACATCATAAACTTTAAACTATATAAATTATATCATAAACTCCAAATCCTATAAACTTTTGTTGACAAACTTTTCAAATGAATGCATTTTAGTCCAAAATACATCATATTTCCAATTCCTATAACTTTTGTTTACCAACTTTTCAAATGAATGCAATTTAATCCAATTTGATATTAATTTCAACCATACATTTTGTAGTTGTTTCAATTTGATCCCTGTGCATTGTTAAAGTTATTTAAATTTTAGTTTGTAATTTTATGTTTGTTCAATTTAGTCCTTAAAGTTATATTTTTATTTGAAATTGACCCATATTTATTTCTATTTTTTGTATTTTACTCCAAACCCTATAAATTACATCATAAACTTTGAACACTATAAATTATATCATAATCTCCAAGCCCTATAAACATTTGTTCACGAACTTTCAAAATGAATGCAATTTAACTCAATTTGATATTAGTTTAACTTTACATTTTTACAATTGTTTTAATTTGATCTTTGTGCACTGTTTAGTTTATTTAAATTTATAATTTTATATTTGATCAATTTAGTTATAATTAGTAGCTTATAATAAATATTTTCTATATATTTAGAGATAATTGTTATAATGTCTCTCTTTATATTTTTTTTTCAATTACATAATTATAGTTATAGCAAAAAAATTGCTATATTAGGGAAAAACGATTTCCCAAATAGTGTTTTGAAAGATTATTTGTTGGGATTTGCGGAAGCTTTAATCGTCAACCGAAAGGATTCGCCAAGAGGGGTTGAGTTGGTTCTTGTATTTAGGGAGTAAGGAGATTGAAAGATAGACAAATTGCACAGCGATTTATAGTGGTTCGACTTCTCAACCAAGTCTACATCCACTACTTTAGCTCCTCACTAAGGATTTTCTAACAAATTCACTAATTTGTTCTTTCTTTTTCAAGGACAAAGAGATAACCTTTACAACTCCCTAGTTTTTTACGGGCTAAACTATAACCTTTTCCCTAGCTTTTAGCAGGCTTAGCTAGAACCAAAACCCCTTTACAATGAAATGAAACGTAAACAAGAAAACCTCTCTAAGGTAGGTGTTTACAAGAATTAAGCTCACAAGAATAAATATTTACAAGAGAATAGAAAAATAAGATTGAAAAATTCTTCTATTGTGTTTGATTGCTTGGATAGTTGTTCTATATATTCTTCAAGTGTCCTTAGCTTGTTTTTATAGCTTGAAGCCGTTGGGGATTCATTTTCTACAAAATAAAATTGCCTAGATCAAGTAGTATCGATACTCCTTCAATTAGTATCGGTACTACCTTTGTAATATTTGAATTTTTTTTACCGTTGGGCTTGATATTACTGTAACAGTATCGATACAACTGTAGCAGTATCGATACTCATTTTGCATTCGATGTTTTTGAGTATCAGTATTGTTCATTACTGTTCACACAGTATCGATACCATTCATACAATATCAGTACTATTCATACAATACTATTCATAAAAAAATTGTGCTCAATTCCAACTTAAATAGACTTTGAATTATTTTTGAAAACTTTGAATAAATTCAATTCAAGTCCAAAAACATTTTGCCATATATTGTTATATCAAAATATAGTTCAACATTATTTTTTATATAGAGTGAAATGAATAGTGAAATATGAAGATTGTAAGAATACATGACGACTTCTCCTCCTAAACTTGAAAAATCATTTTCTTCTTCATGTGGCTCTACTCTAGTGACACCAAAGACGCCCTGTAGTACTAACGTTTTTATGAAGACATCGTGTACTTTGATCGTCTTTCTAGTTAAGACATTGCGTAGTCTGTTTGTCTTTCTCGTGCACTGTTCCTATTGCCCTAGTTGAGAAAATAAAGCTCCACCTACGCTATATGGAAAATTATTTTTTTCCCATATAATTACCCAATTAAAATAATTCACTCAAAAAATGATCTGATATGAAGTATATCTGTATCCGATAAGATCCGACTTGAAGTTCATCCAAAATTGATGTTACTCGATCTGAATTTTATCTGTCAATGACTTGACTTGATCCAAAGTCTACCGAAACCTGAATTAACATGATATTAAATGATTCAGACCCAACTGTTTTGACCTAAAATGATATTGACTCGACTTGAAATTAACCTGACCCAAAACCGACTCATGTCTAATTTGAAATCAACTTGACAATGACTCGAACCCAAGTCGACCCGAACCTAACTTGACTCCAGTCAAATCATTAAATTAACCTGACATAACCCTATTCGATTTGACCTGATATGAATTGACTTGAAGTCTGAACGATTATATGATTTTACATCCCTAATGAAAAGATTTACTATAAATTGATAACTTTAGTAACTATATCATTACTTCAGTAAAAAAAAACTTATTAATATTTCATTGACCATTTATGTAGTTTACCCTTTTAATTTTTACAAATTCTGTCTACGTAACTAAATGAAAATTGTCCAAAGCAGTCCTTCCTTCCTGCATTCTCCTTGTGCTAGCAGATCATTTTAATTTCAGAAAAGAAAAAGAAAGGAAAAAAAAACCGCCGTCATCAATCTTTGGGCAAACCCTTTTTTTTCCTTAGCCGAAAACTTGTTGGCTTTGACTCTCATCACTAACAACTTTTGGGTTGGACCATGGAAGACTCCGCCGCCGGCGCCTCACTACCTTCGGGACCCGACGGGAAGAAGCGCCGTGTGACATACTTCTACGAGCCAACGATTGGCGACTACTATTACGGCCAGGGTCACCCGATGAAACCCCACCGGATCCGTATGGCCCACAACCTAATCGTCCATTATTCTCTCCACCGTCGGATGGAGATTAACCGTCCTTTCCCCGCTGGTCCCGCCGATATCCGTCGCTTCCACACCGAGGAGTACGTCGACTTCCTCAACGCCGTCAGCCCCGACTCCATGTCCGATCCCACTTACTCTCGCCATTTGAAGCGTTTTAATGTTGGAGAGGATTGCCCCGTGTTCGATGGGCTTTTTGGTTTCTGCCAGGCCTCCGCCGGTGGCTCCCTTGGTGCTGCTGTTAAGTTGAATAGAGGGGATGCCGACATCGCCATCAATTGGGCTGGTGGATTGCATCATGCTAAGAAAAGTGAGGCTTCTGGGTTTTGCTACGTTAATGATATCGTTCTTGGGATTCTTGAGCTCCTCAAGTTTCACAGGGTAATATCGTTTAAAAAATTAGTCCCGTTTTCTAATTGCTGTTCTTATTTACCAGCTAATGTTCGTTTAGTAATTTAGGGTTATTAAGCTTCCTTGAAAAGGTAAAAAGTCTTATTCGTATGGTATTGGATGGTTAGATAAATGTCTAAACCAAACCTAAATAATAGGCATTAAACCCAACATATTTGCAGAATAAAACCCTTTTTACATTGAGTACACGATCCTCCTACCCCGGTCATTTCTATATACCACCATAATCATCTCATAATAATTTCATATCATTATTTATCATCTCCAACTATAGTTTTTTTGGTCTCCCCTTCAATCTTTTACTTTGTGCAATGTCAATTTGATCTATGTTTCTAACAGATGCATTCTTCAATCTATATCCGATGTGACCAAACCACCATACAAGGTTCTCTTACTTTGAAGGAGTATCCTTAATAGGAGCTATCCCATCTTGGAGATAAATATCCTCATTTCTAACTTTGTCATTCCTAATCCTATAGTACATCCTTTTCAACATTCACATTTTGGTTACACATCTTTTATGTCACTTGTTGTTAGCCCAAGATTTGCTATGATACATAAAAACAGGTTTGACAACCATCCCAGAGAACACATCAAATTCTAAGATACATTACAATTGCACAAAACTTGTTTCCTACTTTACCTAAATCACCCATTCTTGATCATATGGTTAATATCTACTCCCCCAGTCTCTCATACTTATCTTGTTTTATCATAAGACATGAGAGGAACTATCTTCTTATTCAAAGCCAACCTTGAGATGTCCTTTTGTACTCTATTGTGATGTTCTCTAAATCATTAAAAACTGTGTAAATCTTCCCGTGCCAATCTAAACCCTCAAAAGTTGTTGCAACAGATGAACATTTTCATGGTGGATTGTCTTGGCGTGATACCAAATTGATATTGTGCAATCTTAGCATGTTGCAAATGTTGCTCAATTTTAGCATAAGATGTCCTTATGTACTCTATCGTGATGTTCTCTAAATAATTAAAAACTGTGTAAATCTTCCCGTGCCACTCTAAACCCTCAAAAGTTGTTGCAACAGATGAACATTTTCATGGTGGATTGTCTTGGCGTGATATTCAATTGATATTGTGCAATCTTAGCATGTTGTAAATGTTGCGCAATTTTAGCATATTATGGTTATGTCACCCACATCTTAATTACCATAAAAGAGCTTACCAAAAATTTTGTTTCATTTCTCTTTAATCTTCTTATCCTTCAGCAAAATTAAACAGCTATCTTTAATTCCCCTAATAGTTGCAACATATCTAGTCTTTTGCATCCTCATCTGAGCAAGCTTACAAATATCATCCTCTCTGACTTTTGAGTTCAGTTTATCAAAAATATCTTTATATACTACCGATCTAACCTCCTACTACTTTATTGGCATCCTTTGCTAGCTTATATTTCTCATAACTCTCAATACCCTTATTATTTCCTAAGTTTCCGTAGAAAACTCGCTTGTTCTTAATAGTCGCTTATACTTTCTAGTTCTGTTATGATGTGTCCTTCTATGTTACTCGGACTTGGGTGTAAGTGTCAGACATGAGTACTTCATGAAAAATGAAGAGTCCAAGCAATATAGGTGTCCTTACATGGTAGTGTTACGACCTCTGAGTCTCTTTAGTCACTTATCTAATAAAATTGTCCATCTTATTCCAAAGCACACTAGGTTGACCTTATCTTCCCTATTAGTGCATCCAAAAAGATAAATGCTTGTCTGCCCCCATCATGCTCCACCATTTGAATCGAGGGTCTAGGATATGTCTTTCTAAAATGGTAAAACTTGAAGTTGATGTATCACCTCACTGTTCATGCAACAATTTTTTCATCTCCACCTGTCCAAAAGAATTTCCTTTGACTAGGATTTCCTCCATTACTACAATTCATCAGGTGACTATGCAGGTGTGATGGCATAAATATAAATTTGGCCCAAGAACCTTAATAATTGGGTCATTTTGACTTCTTTTCTTTTATTGATCAATTTGATCATGTTATTATTTCTAGTAAATTTAATCTACATGCTATTGCTTGATTTGCATACTGACACGTTTTCCTGGAAGTAACCCGGGTTTTCACTGTGATTCTAGAAGTTTACTTTCTTTTTGGGTTACACTTTAGAGTTGTGCTTTCTTAAGGGAATTTGGCACTTCTCACTGAAATAATAGCTGAATTCTGTGATGGAATTGCAAACACAAGTGCTCTACCGATTTTTTACCTTTCCATTTTTAAAATGCCGCTCAAAGTTAGGCAGAAAGTTAATTCTTTGATGGCTAACTTTCTTTGGGGGGGGGGGAATTCAATCAAGAATCGTATACATTGGGTTAGTTGGCAGGCTGTTTGTAACCCTCTAGAGGCTGGTGGCTTGGGAATTATGAACTTGAACATTACTAATAGGGCTTTGTTGGGAAAATGGGTGTGGAAATTTGCAAATGAGAAAGATTCACTCTGGAAAAGGATAATATGTAGCAAGCACAACGCTAGTACTATATCACTGTCTATTAATGAAGTTGTTTCGCCTCAAGACTCTTGGATTTGGAAAGGAATTGTGAACAATTTTTGGAAAAATGATGACATTAGAGGTTGTTTGAGATCGCATTCTAGGATTCAATTGGGGAATGGCAAGTCTATCTCGTTTTGGAATGATGTTTGGGTCAATGATTTACCTTTGAAGACGCAATTTCCAAGGATTTTTGCTTTATCAAACAACAAAAGGGGCACGGTGGCTGAGTTTGGCAACTTTGATGCAAATGGATGGGTGTGGAATGTTCAAACTAGAAGAAACTTATGTGATTGGGAATTTTACCAATGGGTCGATCTGATGGCAGCTATTAATTGTTTTAATTTATCTGATTCAATGGAGGATTTTCTTTCTTGGAATGGGAAGGGGGATGGTCTGTTTTCAGTGAAATCCTACAAGTTGGCTTTATCTAATAGTCAAGAAGAGCGTTTTTCGTTGAAGAGGTGGGTGTGGTCAGGTTTGGCTCCTCCTAGAGTAGAAACCTTCCTTTGGCAGATCACTCACAAGAAATTGGCAGTGAAAATGGAGCTGAAGAAAAGGGGGGTTCCTATGGAAGATGTTCTTTGTCCACTTTGTAAATTGAAGGAAGAAACAGTCCAACATCTTTTCTTCTCTTGTTCAGTTGCAGGGGACCTTTGGAACAGATTTTTTAAGATTTGGGGCATTCAAACAACTTTGCCTAATGATCCACTAGTTTTGTTAAGTTCTTGGTCTGATTTGAAGAAAGACTCTCGCATTTGGAAATTCATCCCGGGAGTAGTTCTTTGGTCTATTTGGAAAGTAAGGAATTCAATTGTGTTTGATAACTCAAGCCTTGATATAACCTCTCTCTTCTTCCTAACTAGATTTCGGTTGGCTCAATGGTTCTTAGCAAAGTTTCCCCATTTTCAAATTCAAATGGATTTGTTGGTAGGGGACCCCTCTCTTGCAGACAGGATTGGTATTCATAAAAATCAAAGGAGCGTGATTCAAAGTTGGCAACCCCCACCAATTGATTTTTTTAAATTCAATGTTGATGGGGCTGTCAAGTCTGATGGGTTGGCTGGAGGAATTGGAGGTATTTTGAGAGATTATAATTGTACCATTTTATCGACTTTTTCGGTTAGCATTGGTCCAGGACCTCCTCCGTTGGCTGAGCTGAAAGCTATTAAGAAAGGTCTAGACAGCTTTCTTATATCAGAGTGGGCTACAAAGGGAAGACTGATTCTTGAAAGTGACTGCAAATCTGCAGTTGACTGGATTTTACTGCCTAATTCTTTTTTTTTTTTGATGGAATTTACTGCCTAATTCTGTTCCTAGTTTTTTCAATTCAATTGTTTTGGATATTGTGTCCTTAGTTCAACAGAGGGCGGTTATTATTCGATGGATTCCTAGGAGCTGTAATTGGGAAGCAGATAAATTAGCTAAGGATGGGATCGGGTAATTGTAAGGGTATTTCTAGAGGGTACTTCATGTATTTCAGTTTTTTTAGGATTCACCCTTGTATTGGTTTACTGTTTTGTAATAGTTCTCTATTTCAATATATCAAGGTACTCTTTTCCTCCTTCCGCTAGTTACTCTTTATCAGAGTTAACTATGAGGGAAGTTTTTAATGAGGCCTTTCATTCCTATCAAAAAAAAAATGTCTTGCCGAATGCAAACACTTAATAGTGTGTGTTTTTGTTCCATTATTTGATTATACTATTGTTCTTATCTTACCCCACAATTTGTTTATAGAACATATTTCTTATTATGCAAGCAAAATAATTGTAACTTCTTATTAAGTCATTTCTTTTGCATTTCATCCAAAGGAATGCTTCAACTAGAAGAAGAGGATTTTGTAACTCTGCCTCGTGTTTATTTTCTACGAATGCCAGAGATATGATGAAGTTCTTAATGGACTTGCGAATAAATACTGAGTTCAATGTCCTCTTGCAGCGTGTACTGTATGTAGATATTGATTTCCATCATGGTGATGGTGTAGAAGAGGCATTTTACACCACTGACAGAGTTATGACTGTTTCTTTCCATAAATTTGGGGATTTCTTCCCAGGGACTGGACACATAAGAGATGTCGGGGTGGGTAATGGAAAACACTATGCTTTGAATGTTCCCTTGAATGATGGGATGGATGATGAGAGTTTTCGGGGTCTGTTTCGTCCTATAATCCAAAAGGTCATGGAAGTGTATCAACCAGATGCAGTTGTTCTCCAATGTGGAGCAGATTCATTGTCCGGTGACAGGTTGGGTTGCTTCAACTTGTCTGTGAAGGGCCATGCAGATTGTCTACGCTTTCTTAGATCTTTCAATGTTCCTCTAATGGTCTTGGGTGGGGGAGGGTATACTATCCGCAATGTTGCTCGTTGTTGGTGCTATGAGGTCTCTTTCTCGCACACAGTTCTAGCAAAATGTTTTACATATCATTGCTGATGAAATATTGTTCTTCTAAAGTGCTTCTTTTGCTTCATTTCAGACAGCTGTTGCAGTTGGGGTGGAGCCTGATAATAAGCTGCCTTATAATGAATATTACGAGTATTTTGGTCCAGATTATACACTTCATGTTGATGTGGGCAACATGGAGAACCTTAATGCACCTAGAGATATGGAGAAGATAAGGTAAGCTCAGAGCATCGAAGTTTTTTTGATGTATGGATTAACCAAAATTTGTGTTTGCTTATTGAGTAAATATTTCTAATGTTATGCGGCCACGAACCTTCCCTCATTCTTGGAACCTTGTTCTAATTGAATTTTATTTTGGTGCTCCTCTTTTTCAGGAACATGCATTTAGAGCAGCTTTCTAGACTATCGCATGCACCCAGTGTACCTTTTCAAACAACACCTTCCACCGTCCAACCACCTGAGGAGGTTTGTAGCCAACAACAATTACTATAATTGTTTCGGCATATATTATTTGTAACAAGTTCTCTTTGTTATTTTATCTTATATGGAGGGTTCTTTTGGCTGTAGGCGGAGGAGGACATGGATGAAAGACCAAAACCTCGGATATGGAATGGTGATGATTATGAGTCAGAGCCTGAAGATGATGAGAAACCTCTTCGCAGATTCTCGAATTCTGATGTGAAACAACCTACAACAGATGCTGATATGAGGTAAGGGTTTGTCTTTTTACATACTATCTTATAGATTTTACCATTTCTTGTCCAAAATTTAATTGATTAAACACAGTGGAAGGTAAATGCTTTTATATAAGGTATTCATTTACCATTACTGTTTCATGAGGTCAAATTCCATTATTAATAGGCAACGTGTGCTTCTTGCTTGATTGATTCATTTATGTGAGCATCTGTACTATCTGAGCACCGACTGAGCTTTGGGGCTTGGGTGATCTGGGCCCGGTTGGGACAAGGGTCAAGAGGGCTCTTAGTTTCTGAACATCATACATGGAGAATGCTAGTTTTTTCTTGCTAAAGCACATTTTGAAGAGCCTTGTTAACTGTGTTGCTTAGCAAGTTTTAGTAGTTAAAAAATATTTGAAATTTGTCAGGGATGTATCACAAGATTTGAAAGAAGTAAAAGCAGAAGTGAAAGCAGAACAGTCACAATCTTGACACTGAAGGAACGCTTTGCTTCCAGGCTTGGATGTACTTCCCTTAAGTCAGTATAATTTGACCTTTTGGCACATTCCTTCAGTTTGGGCATTTTTCGACATCAATAGCAAGCGTATTCTTTGATCCTTCTATTGAGGCTAGGAAAGCTTGGTTGTTTAGGTCTTTGTTTCATACTGTGTTAAACAATACAGTGGCAGTACAGTACTTATATACCAAGACTTGATATGCTACTAAATGACTTAATTCTCCGTTCATGTTGGTTGTATTTTGCCGTTTTTATTACTATAGTTATTTAATGTTTGGGTAAAGTACACAAATGGTTCACCAATTATAGAATATTGTTTGTTGATAATTTTGATTATTAAAAGTTATAAAATGGTCATTTGACTATTCATTATGTTCCAAACTCATCATTTTCTGTTAAAAAATTAACGGCCGTTTGAGTTGGACATTAAAATATTTATTGAGATATGATAGTAGTTTAAGATTATGAGATTAGATTTTATTATATCTCAGTAGTAGGATAATGATCAGGTCAAATTATAATTAAATTTTTAATGAAAAATAATAAGTTTGGAACATAATGAATAGTTGGATGATTATTTTGTAGTTTTTAATAATCGAAGAATTTAACAAAACAATTCCGTATAATTGATGAATTATTTTATAACTTTTAGTAGTTGAAGGATTCAATAAAACAAAATCTTATGGCCAAAGGATCATTTGTGTACATTACCCTTAATGGTAACATAATAAACCCAAACCAGAGACAGGAGGGTTAATTATCCACACAAAAAAAAAAAAAAAGAGAGAGGAGGGTTGAAAACAAGTTAAGATGTGGTATAGGTTCAAAGTTTTTTTCCCTAAGAAAACCTAGAAGCTGCATTAATTTAAAAAAAGCATTTTCTTCTTTTTCTCGAGAAAATGAAGCTTGCCGGTCAATTCCATATTCCAGTTTATTTTACTCCAAAACTCCTATCCCTTTATCACAAACCTTCACATTTATCCAACTGAATAATTTAAATTCCTATTATAATCTTTCACCACCACCATCATCATAGTATTGCATCTTATTATTATTATTATTATTATTCAGGTTCTCTTTCATTTTGCATGAGGCGAAACTAAAATGTAATTTTGTTATCAGTTATTTGATTTTATAACCTTTTTTGTGGATCAGTTGAGTGAGAGTTTCATTTCATTAGTGTTAAAACTTAAATCGACTACGACAGTTGTGGTGTAAAGGAGAGAGTTTTAATCAATGACATTTAATTTAGGCTTAATTATAAAATAAATGCCTAAACTATACCGTTTTCTCAAATAGGCGTTCAAACTTTTTTTCAAATTATCTAAATGCCAAATGTTATAAATTTAGGTGCCTGGGTCGTAACTACCGCTAAATTTCTCCATTAAGTGACGTGTGTCACGTTCTAGTAATTTTGAAAATTTTATTTAAAAATTTAAAAAATTAAAATTATATTTATATATTTAAAAAACACAAGTTTTGAAACACTTTAAAAAAATCAAAACTTTGAAAACCCAAATTTCAACCCCTAAACCCACGTCGACCGTCATCATTTGCTGTCGAAAAAGCTCCACTCGACCTCACCTCCATTGATGATCGAAAACCCTATGAAATCGCTACTAATCAACGACAAAGATGGCAACATATGACTAGGAATATGGCAAAGACAACGTTGACAGTGGTAGTCGACAAGGGCGACGTTGGCGGGTTAGGGTTAGTGTTAAGGATTTAGAGTTTTGTAATTTAAGAGAAATTAGGGTTTTTCATAAATATAATATTTTTAAAAAAAAATCAAAATGACCAGAATGTAACAGGTGTCACTTAACGGTGAGATTTAATTGCAGTTACGGCTTGAACACCTAAAGTGGTAATGTTTGTAACGTTAAACACCTAGATGATTTGAAAAAAACGTTTGGGCACCATTTTGAGAAAAACGGTATAATTGGGACACTTATTTTATAATTAAGCGTTTAATTTAATTTAAATTAAATGTATTATCATGTAATCAATGACATTGATAAAGGTGCTACTTATCACATTGTTATAAGTTGGAAATTTTACCTAGTGTTTTTTAATGATGTAATGGAAAGTATCTTTCATGGTCAACCCTTCCATAACTTGCGGGCATAATTTTGATTTGATGCCGTTCAACAATCATGGAGGAAGATCGTTGGAGGATGGGGTGGGTTTGGAATCTCTGGTAGTGCTTGAACAATCGAGATCGCCTTTGACAGAGGACGCTAAGAAGGCCATGAAGAAACTCGCAATGAATCGGCCAATGACAAGAACTTTAAAGAGGAAAAAGGATTCAACAATCGTCGTCAATGGCGATTGTCGATTCTACTATGGAGGATTGCCCTGACAATGGATTGGATAATATGGAAGTCTTAGAAGAAGTAGATCTCACTATCCCTAATGATTCAAGAATGAGTGTCAACGTTAGTGTTGGAATGGAGAAATAAGATAAAAAAGTTATTGTGAATGACAATTCGCAACATGAAGGTAACATTAGTTCACCAGAGTTCGGAGGTGCTATACCTTTCTTTCGTGACATGGTAAAGAGAAACAGATCAGGGGGTAATCAGGATGCTTTTATCAACGAGTTGGATGTGGAAGTAAACCCGGAAGATGTGACTCTGGACACTGACGGTCCTCTCCCTAAGCTCAGTTTCTCAGGACGGGTTCATGATGCCATTGATGCTAAATTGGCAACCTCGGCGATTGTCTGCCTGTTAGGTAAATCAATTGGTTACAAAGCCCTCGTGAACATTATAAAGGTTCTTTGGAATCTGCAAAGGTGAAATCAATTGGTTACAAAGCCCTCATGAACATTATAAAGGTTCTTTGGAATCTGCAAGGTGAAATCAATTTGATCGGTCTTGACAACATTATTAAGATGACTATAACCATGTTTTATCAGGAGGACCTTGGGTAATATATGGGAGCTACCTGATTGTCCAACCATGGCGTAGATATTTCTCTACTGCGTCTAATCACCTAACGAGGATTATGGCTTGGGTATGTCTTCCTGGTCTACCTTATCGATATTATACGAAAAGTTTGTTTCGATGTATTGCAGTCATTATCGGCAAGGTTGTCCGGATTGATTATAATATTGAAAATGGGAAAAAAGGGCGTTTTGCAAGACTGGCAATTGTTGTGGATTTGGACAAACCCTTGATATCTGGAATTATTATTGATGGGAAGCGTCAATCCGTCGAGTATGAAGGGTTGCCGATAATTTGCTATGGTTTTGGAAAATACGGACATGCTAAAAAGCAATATGGTGTGGATGTTAACACTGTTATTGAAGGAACTAAGACTAATCAAGTTAATATCACAAAGGATAATCTGTATGGCCCTTGGATGCAAGTTGCCAATAGGAAAAAAAGACCACTGCTAGTAAAAGAAAAGAAAAAAAAGCGTGAATGGTGAGACTTTAATTCAAACTGCTAGGCAACGGTTTGGATCGTGATATGCATCCCTTGACAACCTTTAAGAAGGTGAAAACTTAGCTAACATCACGAGAGAGGATGCGATTGACGTAGGTGAGAAAGGTTTCGATTTGCCAGCACCTGCTGGTCCAAGGATTGGTGAGGTTAATACCCATGGTGAATCGAGTAAACAAGGGGCCGTGAAGTATAATTCTAGAAGTCCATTGGAGATTCCTAGAAGTGTCTTGGTGACCACGAACCAACAAGTCAATAATTCTGTAGTTGCTTCGAAAGGAACAATAGTTCCAGTTGCCTCTTCTTTGAATAAAGACAAGCATGTAGCGGTTCAGGTGATTGATAATGATGAGAACCAAGTTCCTTGTTGTCGTAACCGTCTTTCGGTTGGGCTCTGGAATTGGGTTTCGACTTGAAAAATATGGATTGGAGTCGCCGCCGACCATTTTAAAACGAATTTAGGTGGGTCGGACACCATCTTATCTGATCTGCGTTTTTACCAGAAATGTGTCGGGTTCGAGAGTCGGTTACGGTCAAGGAAGGATTAGCACCCTTGAACTGCCCTTTCGGTACCAATTAATTTGTCGGTTGTCTTAGTTGCGAAAATTCAAAATTAAAATTAAAATTTAACAGATTTGATTCAAATTACTTACAATTGATTGATTTGAATACCCTTAAAAGATAAAAACGTTAGATTCTTAGCGGAGTATAAAATCGAATTAGGATAGCAAGTGTGCAAACGTGAGAATAATAAATAAAACAAGAAAAAATAGAAAATAACAAAACACGTAAAAATAATAAAAAAATAATAAAAATTAAAAAAAATGAATAAAATGTTAATAAAACAAAGACACAGATAAAAGGAAAAATTAATGGAGTAAAAAAATAAAAAAAAAGTAAAAGAAATTAAAAATGAATAAAAACAATGTGTACATATAAAGTATTATTTACTAAAACAAATAAAAATAATAAATATATAGTACTAACTAAAATAAATAAAAAATAAAGATATACATGATATTAAGAAAAAATAATAGAAAAAATAAAATAAAGTAAAAATATAATATATATAAATAAATAAAAACAAAAATAAAATATTAAGAAAATATATATAAAAACGTATAAAATATAATATTAAGAAAAAATATATACATAGTAAATGGAAAAAAATTAATACATCTACACATATATATATATATAATGATATAAGATATATATAATAAAAATAATATAATATAAATAAAAAAAGAGGAATATAGTAAATAAATAAATAAAATATAATTAAAAAAATATATATAGGGGACGAAATTAATATTAAAGTAAAATTAAAGGGTAAATTTCAAGGTAAATTAAAGATTAAGATTGACTTAGGGGGAATATTAAATACTTTAAAAAAAATGAACATGCCTCGGGAGTAGATATAGGTTCGAAACTTCGAAACCCCACCCTTTTTTGGTCATCGGCGCAACCCACGCTTTGGGTTATTCAAACCAAATCTCAAGAAAAATAACATGCACATGCGAGAAATGAACGAATCAATGTAAAAAAAATGCTACCTTTTATTTCCTTTTCGAATTGTTTACAATAGCTTTGCCTTTGTATTTTTTCGTGATTTCCTCTGTATCTTGTGTGTAAATCCTGTATGTTACAAATGGGGAGGATTACATGTATTTATAGTGAAAAAACTAACTATTTTTAGAATCCTATTAACAATAGAATCCTAATGCAACTAGACTCCTTGTTCAGTTGTTGCATGTTTGTTGGTGTGGTTGTTGCTTTAAAAGATATGGT